AACTTAACCGGAAGAAATAAGCCTAATCGACTGTAAATGTTACAAACTGTTACTCCAAACGACGACTATTATCAATTTATAAATTACAGTTGTAATATCAAAAATGTACTATTTTCTTTGGACTTTTATGAATACAATAACTGCCATAAGTAACTGCAACCAGTGTAATAAAAAATCATTCTTCAGATCACTTATTTTTTTTGACAGTTAATAAGCAAAGCAAATATTTCGCGATTTTTGACTAAATTTTTTTGACAGTTATAAGCCTAAATCAGTTTTATTTAGAAATATTTTTGTCAGAAAGCACTTGAAGTTATCTAGTTGTTCGCTTCTTTCAGTGTTTTACTACTTTTTATAGTTGACGTTGTTCAACTGGTCGGGTATACCGTTTGTATTTTTCTTTTGAGATTATTCAGGTTCTGTATTATGAAAATAAAAAATAATTAGCTGAACAATTTTTAGTAACTTTGCTAACAGTAATCTGCTATATGTTCTTTTTTTGATTTTTCATCTAATATTGCTTAAAAAATAAGAAGGTCTAAAAGCTACACAATCAATTCTGATAAATTTTTAATAAAAAAATTTAAAGATAATTGTGATAATAATTAATTATCAACATCGCGATCTAAGCAAAGATAAAAAATAAAAAAAAAAAAGAAAATTATAAATTAGAAATTGAACATTCAAAATGAGTCTGTTGAATGAGGAATTCTAATCAAATTATTTCTGGTTTTCAAAACATTGGCACAGTTAGGTTTTCACCGGTTATAATATAGTGACTGATTGTGTAAAGGTGATATTTCTATAAATAAAAGTTGTGTAATATGATAAAATGTTGCAATTAAAGTCTTCTTCATCTGTAAATATCTGTTTGAAAATATTCTATTATTGTTAGAATCAAATGGAGCGTTCTAACCAATATCATCAGTTAATTAAATTATAGTACTGCATGGTAAAATTTTTCTGAATAATAAGCCACGTTAGAAACAAAGAAGACTGATGAATTTTTATTTGTGAAATCTATCATATTTACACCTGGTGATAATATAATAGTTCAAACAAAGCACTTTTCAATTCAAAATACATCATCATACAAGGTATTCGAAAGGTTATGACAGTGATCAAGCATGTGATGTAAAATGTTTCATGACAAAAGTTTCTGTCAGTGGAATAAAGACTGGAGTTGGAATTGACACTGGAATTGGCAGTACAACCAGTGGAGTTTGACCACTGAAAGTTTTAGCAGTCATATTCTCCTTTGGTTCCTGTTGCTTGATTTTCTTCTGTGATGCTAACGATAACATCATTCCATCAACCATTTTGTCAATCTCTAAATCGCTGTCAGATGGATTCGTCTCAAAAGCTTCTTTTTCGCCAGAAACATTGGGTTTTGACTTTTCAGGTTCAGTCGTATTTGCCTCCGGTGAACCAAAGTTAAGATTATTTGCTACACTGGAAGCGATCGGAAATGTGTTTAAAAAATTCGGACAAGCGGAAGTGCTTGGTTGTGGCATAAAAAAAGGATGTGGAATATAATTTGTGGGAATCGGAAAGTTTGGCTTAAGTCCAGGCATCGGCAAGTATGGTAAAGGTTTCTGGTAAGCAGCCACACTGCTGTGCATCGGTTCAATCAGATTTGGTGTTAGTGAGAGCTGTGGGCTTATTCCGGGATGTAAACCAGAACTGACAGAACAGTTTGACCGTCGACCAGCCCGTATGTCGTCCCAGTAACGTTTGTTTAGTCGATAAGATGGATGTGGACGAGGTTCCTTCACTCGTTTCGATGTCTTCTTTTTTGTGTCGGTAACCCTTCGCTTTTTATGACTGATTTCGTCCGAACTGGCTGCCATTTTTGTAGTTCTTCTTTTCTAAATTTTCAAATTTAAGCATATTTTTATTGTTATAAATTTACTTTTTATATACTGCGCAATAGTTTAATATTTCTTCAATAAACATTAATTTGATCCAAAATTAACGTGAAAAAACATAGAAATTTGAAAAAAAGTGCCAGAAAAAGCAGTTTTATATTTTGACGTATGTACAAAAAAACTAATTTACCTATGTGATTGGAGGCCAGTAATACAAAATGCCGAAAATTACAGTAATTTAACAAAAAAACATTAGCACTAACAAAATCGATTTTAAAAGTTTAGTCTACCATCATATATGAAAACCTTAAAAAATTTATTTTTTGAAAAAATCTTCAAGAAGAAGAAAAGGAATTTTACACCTTTTCCGTTTTAACTGCGGATAGTAACAGGAACTGCTGTAAAGTAATTTAAAAAAGAAGATTTCTTTCAATAAATTCACATAGAACTTGGCTTGCATAAAACTATATGCTATATTTTTTGGCTTAAAAAAATAAATTTTATGCTTTTGCTAGCGATATTTCAGCTCACTAAAAAGTAAATGATAAAAAAGAGTGATTAACTGAAATTAAAAGATTAAGATTGGCACTGTCTCAGTATGGCTTTGTCAGTCAAAAAAAAAGTGATATTTTTATTGACTAAAATACTATTTTAGCGAATAAAGTTTTTGTGAAAGAAACTACTTTATCTCGATAACAAAACTGAAAGAATCGACCACTATCTATAACTCTTATCAAAGTTTTAAGCTTTTTTTCTTCCTTTTTTTTTGAAATTTCATGTCAAAATTTAATCTCTGTCATTTTGACAGAGGTTTAAAAAACTCAACAAAAATAATATCTTCCTGTATTACATTTCTTCAATAATACCTTACTTCTTTCTTCACACCTAATAAGGTCGTCAAAATGTACGGCAACAAATTAAGATTTGTTGAAGGAGAGTACACGGCAAACGGAAAGCAGTGTATGTCAAAATCTTCTGAACACTTTGTAATTTTTTGCAATAAAAATAAATCGCAAATAATCTTTGCTTGGTGCGTATGTAAAAGAAAAAGAAAAGACAAATCTTGAAAAATAATACATTGGTAAAGTGTGTAGTAAAAAAAAAAATTAAATCAAATTTATAAAAATTATTTGAAT